AAAAACCTCGATTAAATTCAAGAAAAAGACACCTGTAGATACATCGCGAAAATTCCACGATATCCATGAGAAAAAGATCCGTTGGGTCCACTGTACCTTTGCCGGGCAGAGCAGGAGTCACAAACGATCACCGGGTAAACCTCGCCCATACGCACGACACCGGGCAATCCCACGAACTCATACGACCACCGAGAATGGAGAGGACGTGTGAGCGTGACCGCGCGCGAGTGCGTGAGTGAGAGTCCGTGCGGGGGGACCCGTTGGGTGCGCAAGGTTCCAGCGAGCGCATTGCGGGGTTCCAGCCAGCGCATCGAGCATTCCGGTCACGCCACCGCTGCCCCCACTCTCACGGGGCTCCACCCCTTCTCTCCCCTCTGTCCGCTTGTGTCCACTTGAGAGGTGTGCATATAACCGTTCGTCGTGATCGCACACAGCGCATCGAGCATTCCGGTCACGCCACCGCTGCCCCCACTCTCACGGGGCTCCACCCCTTCTCTCCCCTCTGTCCGCTTGTGTCCACTTGAGAGGTGTGCATATAACCGTTCGTCGTGATCGCACGATGGCTGCCGGATCCCCAGAGCCCGAATTGCCCTTATTAGGGACGCGATTGTCCTCGTGCTCGCGGCATGACGCCAGTATAGGGGAATTCAACGACCTGCGTAAAATTCCAATATAATGCGTTGGGCTCGAAGCGGACTTTTCCATTGTTGCATGATCGGATTTCCCAAATCCTCGAGCTATAAAATGCCATGCAAACCATGAGAAAGGTTATTGGGTTTAAAAAAAAATCATTTGTCATGCATTGGGTGAAATTTTTACAAAAACGCATACTATAATATTCATATTCTCTTAGTGTGATCTTATGTAAGATCACACTATTCTCAACTACTGACGGCTCTTTGAAGGGATATGGGAAGCTTGTGAAGACGCCATATTGGTTCCATTTTGGGTTCTCAGAGATGTAGGCCCGACTTTAGTCCGTCGAACTTCGAACCGCTCGAAAGGAATTCGGCCTTGATTAGTCCCGGTTGTACAAGAAGGCCGAATATTGGAGGGAAAAAGTGCATTGTTAGAGATATTGCGAAAGTATGCACTGCAGAGACGCGAAAATGAAGGTCAGATCCAAATGGCCATGGGCTTTCGAGCGTGTTTTAGGTTTCCTCTGCTACCAGACCTATTGGGTCCATTCATCAGCACTGCATGGTGGTACTCATCTAAACTTTATTAAGAACATGAGAGATCGAATTATAATTTTTACGGCTTAATCCGCGAAAATTCCCCCGATTTCATATCGAATCCCCTCGGAACGGAACGCGGAAAAAAATCCGGAGTTAGAAGGCAAGAAGCACTTCCGTCGGCGACCTCTCCGGAATTTCTCCCTCGGAAGGACGTTATGTATGCGGGACTGCATCGGGGACAAACTGGGACTCCTGCCAGAACAATGTGGGACGTCCCCCGGAACCCTCACAGCGAGCAGCAACCCGAGACGATCCATTATGAAAACGTTTATGACCGGAACTATGCTCTGGATACAAGTACGATTCAAGGAGACCGGAAGACGGAATTAAGCCGAAAGAAATAAAAATGCGCTCACAGCTGTTGTCGCAATGATGATGAGCATCCTCGAACAGCTGACAATCTGACCTTTTTTATTTTCATTCATCTCGGTCTTGTCAGCTGGGACTGCAGAGTGGTTCAGGCGCTAATTGGCTGCTGTAAGAAAAGTATTGAGGGGAAAAAAAATAGAAAAAAAGAGAAGAAAGATTGAAGAGAAGAACGACAAAATAAGTAATATGGAAAAGAAGAGAGAGAAGAAAGAGGAAAGAGTAGACAGAAGGAAGATGTGAAAGGAAAAGGACGAGAAAAGCGGCGACTTCCTGAGACTTAACAGTTAATAGACATTGGAAAGGACGTCCAAAAACGACTTGTGGCTTTTAAAGCAAGCGAGACCCAATGCTTTTGCAATGCTCCACCTTCATCGTGTGCTCCTTGCACACCGTTCCCAAAAAAGCAAAAGAGCGAAATTCCAGGGTGAGTGATGTCATTCGACGCATTGAAACTCGGGGAAGGCTCATGCCCGTTCATGTGACCTATCGCAGACGAGCGATCGTTCCATTTCTAGGTGAGATGTCTGAAGCACGCGAAGTTCCAGAGAAGATCGACGGCTCTCGTGACTTTCTCCAAAAGGGAAAGTGATTAGCCTTGCAAAGCGGAGGGGAGGAATCCTCCCCGCCCGTCGAAAGGTCAGGGATGGTGGGAGGATGTGGGACCCGGGCCAATGTCAATGGGATGCGGTAGGGCAAACACGTGCTCGAGGTGGATATGTAATGCTGGTGCGGGGTGGAGCGTGACATGCTAGAGGATGCAAAAACCCACCCTGCTCCCACGAGCAGGGTGGGTTTTTGGTGAGGGGTTGGACGGGTGCTCGGTAGGTTGGGTGGATTACAGGTAAGCGGTCAGGGAATGGATTGGATATATTTGGGGAAGAGAGGCACGGGAGGTCAAGTGCGGATGGTGATGGGTGGTTACGGCGGATGATCGAATACATTGAAATAAATTTAACTCGAGAGGTCAGATCGTGCCGAACAACCTCCTCTCTTTTCAGATCGCCAAGCGGGCAACATTTTCTATCCTCAATCAACTTATTCGCCAGTTCCTCTTCTACATTATGGTCTCCCCCGATGATAGAAAAGGCATAGACTGAAGTGATGATGAATGTCTCACCGACTGGTCGTGAGTTAGAGTTTTTGAGACACCTGGTGTGTTATGAGGTTGAAAAGGGATTCCTCAAGGGTGGAACATTCCTACTTTGTCGGAGTGGGTCTCTGTCGCGGAAACAAAATGGGTGTATGAGGAAGGACAATAGAATGTACAGCATTATTTATCGAAATTAACTTGCAAATCGGCAAAAAAATACTTTGAACATTTTTATTGTTTCAATTCTTAAGAAAATTGCATGTAATTATACACATTTTAACTATATTTTACAGTAATTGCTGAGTGTCCCCTTTTTTAAACTAACAATTTTTCCCTGAAGCTGTTCTGCTCGACTGAAGAAGTTATATTTCTCCTGTAGAATAAAAGGAGCCAGTTCCCCAAGAGTCACCTGGCTTGCATCCATTGATAAAAAGGAATTCATCCGGCAAGGACCCATGCAGAGCCGTACTGCCTTGAGAACCTTCTCGAGTTTCGTTAATTGCACTGCTCGATGGCAGAGAAGAAGATACATACATATGGATTGAGCGAGTGAATAAGATGAGGTGGAATTTTCAGCGTTCCTGCCTTGAGGATATTTACCCAGGGTGAAGAAGTAACTCATAACCTGGAAGATTGAAAGTAGCTTACTCCATTCCTAGTTTTTAATTTCATCGTTGTCTTATACATGATTGACTTACGTATGCTTATCTTCTGGGTCTCCGATAGAATGTTTCAAGATAAAATAAAACAGACAGAAAATGGAACTTTCCATCGGCGTTTCATATCCTGACAAAAATGCTTCTCCGGTAAAAGTCAGTCAAAGACAAAGACGTTGCATTGGGGAGTCTGTCAATGTGTGGAGTACTGATACGCTGGTCTGTGATGATGGAAATCCTGTTGCTAAGCATTTCAATGCTGATCACACACACTGAGCCCGGTGTTCCCAACCGTAGGCTGGCTTTGAAAGAAGTTGCACACTGTATTGTTATTAGAAACCTCTCCTATCACGATCAAATAGTAAATGGCACAAATTGTTTGTTATCAAGATCTCGAGGTTACTAGTTGAAGGACAGATTCTTGGGGAAAAGAGCGGTGCTTACAGAAGAGTACTAATTCCTAGAATCCCATTCAAATTCCAAGCTGGTCGGTCTGGTTTAAAAATAATGAAATTTTGTCGTCAAGTGATGAAGCAAAGACATTCTCAAGAAGGCAGTTTGAGTCGAAGGTCAAAGGTAATTCCACCAAATGGACTCTGGATGGAAACACCTGAAAATTTCGTGGAAGGCGTCATCCATATCATGGCTTGGAATGCTAATGCCTATCCAGGGATCGAATTGCATTCACATTGCATTGCCCATATAATTGAAGCACCTTCCTGGCTGGAGTCGATGTTTATATAACAGAACTCCGAAGTTAGTAAATCGCTTTTGATTCGTACGAAATTGAGAAATCGTACAATTTTACCGATTACATACATGGTGGGCCAAAAAACCTCCCCAAATTTGAAGCTTAATAACTTGGGCTTTGTTGGGCCAATATCAATTTTTAAAAAATTAAGCTCCTTCAATTTTCTTTCGAATGACATAATTTTGGGGTTTTGCTTCAGAGAAATAGCCGCTATTACATTATTAAAGAAATGACGACAAAACACTTCCTGAAAGTGGGCTTTTACTCCAAGATCCTTTTCCTCAACCTCGAATTTATTTCTCAGCTGCACACAGACCCTTTTAATAATCCAAAAATGGTTCAATGTGCTCTACTCCACAATCTAAAATAGCCTCATGTTACTCGCCTCATGATCGCATGATCTCTCATCAAAAACAGACGACAGCAGCAACGCAACGCTGAAAAGCACTCAGGAAAGCTGTTTAAGGAAATATTTTCGTGACTTTTTTTTAAACTATAATAGCGGCCATTTCTTTAAAAACAAGCTCCCCCCCCACCCCGAAAAAAAAATTATTTACAGTCATATCGAAAGAAAGTTGGACAAGTTTCATTTTGCTTTAAAAAAAATGTATATTGGCCAAACGGGGCCCAAGTTGTTAAGCTTCAAATTTAGGACGGTTTTTTGGCCGACCCTGTAAATTCGGCAGGAGCGTAGTCCCAAACTCAGCTTTTGAGCATGAAGATGAAGAAAAGCCTTGTGCTGTACCGATTGAAAGAGACTTTTAAAGCGCCTTCTTTCACCAATTATGGAACCGAAGGTGAATTGACACTAAAAATGGAACTTCAACGTCCTCTTCCCCCCACAATGGGAGTCCCAAGGAATCACCACTGGGTGTAACGGATGATGACTGGGAAGCATGAAACTTTCTCATGAGATATGGTAAGACCCTCACAGGATACTTGAACACTTGCAGCACTGTGAAAAATTGAAATTTGCGTGAAATTTCTCAAAGCAACATGATTTGGATATTGTACAAACAGTTAAAATCAAGGACAGGACACGCCTTAGTCGGTCCATTTCATAAGCGGCGTAACTGGATCAAATGGCCTCTCCTGCTGGAAACAAGATTTCAGTCCAACGAGGGAATTATAAGATGAATATTTTAAATGTGAATGCAAATGTAAATGCAAGAAAGATGAGAAAGGAGGGAAAAACCATCCACCTCGATGATCTTGATCAAGGAATCAACCCGAGCGCCTGCACGTTGTCACAACTTTCGGAAGTGAAGATAGAACTTATCACATACATCACAACCTGATGAATCAAAATGTCAACTGTTTACTCAATTCGCACAAGGCTCCGTATGATTTCGTAAGGTGTTGGAATATTCATGTAAGAAATACAAATTTTAAGCATCGTTTAGAAAACACCTTGCAGAAGATGGACGTCAAGGACCTCTTTTGACTTCAAGTTTGCCTGGAAGAAAATACAATGTTTAATGTGATGAAAGTGGTCATAGAGCAGATGATACGTGAAAACGACATGCATACCAAGAAATTGTTCCATAAATTGAGAACGTGTATCCTCCCCGAGTTGTTCTATATCGGAGAGGAATACTGTTAAACCCACTCAGTAGGGCACAGAGATGCCAAGAAGGGAAAAAATAATACCCATTACCATAGGCTTCAAGAAAACCCTTTGTTCGATACGACCTCGATATCTCTGAAGAGAAGGGAAGTACATATATCAACCGGTGAAGCCAGGTTGGAAGACACAAATAATAAGAGCCTGTTCGTACCAATCAATTCCATGAATTCCGAAAGCTCCTTCTCCTCGAGTTTGTCTGTAACGGAAACTAAGTAAATTACATGAGGTACGGGGATGCAGACGTAGGGAGAAATGAAGTTGGTCCATACCAGTACCTTTTAAGAATTTCTTGGTCTCAATAAGCCAGGGTTCTTCGGGAAGAAAACAAATCACACATAAAATAGCACAATGAAAGAAATACACAAAAAAAAGATTCGACCCTTTAAGATACAGGGTTTCGAAATGCCTAGCAGAGACTGCATAAATAACTTTCCTATTTTATTTTGTCCTTGCCCAGGTATTCCATGCCTACAGTGCTACAGACGTGTCTTACCAACGAATCTCGGTATAAATCTTTTCATGTTCATCTGCGGTCGCTTCAATTTCGGTAGCGTCAGGGAACCTCCTGTTTTTGGCAATGAGCATATGTGTGCAGAGAAGGAATAACTAGTATAGCTAGAATAGCTAGAATAGGAAGAGCTAATGTTTCCAGATATGAGTTGCTTTCCGAGAACAGAACGCTGATATATAGTTGACACAGTATTTTCGGTGAAGAATCATATTTGTATTATTCATAAAAGAAGGTGCATGACCATTGAAGCACTTATAGCTATCGAAACGCTTTCTTCTATAGTATCTAACCAAGTCTGGACATGGCGAAACCAAGCAAACCATTTCTGATGAGTTATGTGCCCAACTGCTGCCTCCCTCATCACGAGCAGTATCTCTGTTCGACTTTGCTGCGAGCTTCGTCCTAGTCGTTGTTGTCCAAGTTATGTCTCAGTTTCAAAAAGGTAGAAGCTCACGCTTGACAGCCGCCTTGAATGCAGAGTGGGTCTGTTCTGTCGGATTCAAGAAAGTACGCGAACGTATTAAAAATCATCTGAGACCAAGACCCCTTTGTGAGGTCTTGCATTATGCATGATGCCACGAACTGGTTCATCTTGTTACCTAGTCCTATGAACGTGTCTCAGGATTTCCTCAAGAAATCCCTTATGCATCAACAGAAACAAAAGATTCATTGGCACTGTCGAAATCGATATGCTGATACTGAAATAAATAGTCTTTTGATTGTATTGAATGCGCAAACCAAAAGAGGAAGCGCTGCCGAAATTGAAACGACTCATGTTAAAATTTGTGGGAAATACCTATCGTTCAATTTGTGTATGTATTTCACTCGTCTCAAGCGTGCACCTGACTATTCTAGGTACATTCATTCAGACATATTCGAAACCTTTTTTCATAATTCATCGGGTTCATTATACGGGCAAGCCCGGGAGAGTCCTTCAATGATCTCCGTTCTGGGCAACAGACTCGAACTCAGCAGGTGGGATTCTGAGTCTTTCTTAACGAAGCCGAGCGACGTAACCACTGCACCTTGTACGAGGTTTATCCACACGTCTTTTGGCGATAGTCTTGGCCTGGAAGACTCCCCTTGGGAGTCTTTCAGGGGGCATGCGGCAGACGTGTCGGAACCACCTGACTTGGGACCTCTCTATCACTATAAGCACCTGATCGACGTGGAGGCTTTCATGAAATGTAGAATTCCTCATCCGATCGAGGAGCCTCACACCAACCACTCGACGCAGAAACCTCATTTTCGGCAGCTTGGATACGCGATCTGGATTTTTCGGCCATTACATAAAGCTCATGATCATACGGGTGATTTATAAACCTGTTCCTAATTTCCTTTTCGTATAAATTTCATAATGATAACATTACAGTAGCCAAATTTGCACAAAAAGTATGGAAGACATAGGAGATTCATGTGGGCTCATTGATCGGAACATGATATGTCCGTGTGACATGCATTTTCATTAATCGCACGGCGCCATACGGAGAGAAAAATTTAAGAATAACAGGGAAGATTGCCTCTGTGAGAGCAGAATACGTTTCTCAACGTTAATTTCTGTCGCCCGTTGGTGCCTCTGGATTTTGTAAGATATGCAGAAATACTGGTATAGAAAATGAAGCAATGTTGCTGAATACGAGATATTAAATTGTGAAGCTCATGGGAAGCTCTCTATGTGATTGGGAATGAACATTTGTCTGGCAAGAGAAAAATTTTGCTGGTTACGCTCGCGTTAATTCAATGCTCGGAATGACGGCCCCTGACATCGTCTTCCGGTTCAAACTGCTTAAGAAATCTGGTATTTGTCTTACTGGATGGAATTTCCTGGTAGGCAAGTGCCGTCGATACTGTCTTTGCACACTTACAGTGATTCGTTTAGCTCAGGGGCGTCAAACATGCGGCCCGCGGGCCGGATCCGGCTCGCAGAAGTGGTTCATCCGGCCCGCCGCCTGTTCTTGAAATTTCTGATTGAATCAACTACCAGCACAGATTTCGATGAGAAATTATGGGTACCGCCGGCATGCATCTACAGGTTAGGGAATGCGGCCCGCTGACCGATTTGAGCTTGCACCCCTGGTTTAGCTTGAAGAACCATTTCACTAGGAACAATTTCTGCTCTTATGCGAAGGACGCTATATTAGGTCATCACTGCCCTTTGAGTATTTTTCCATGATTCATCCTCTTTTTGAGCCCACACGAATGCTTTCTTCATGTTTTTGGAAAATTTGTTTATTTAATTATTACAAGAATGTTATACGCATTGGAAACTAGGAACTGCTTAAAAAATCACCACATAGGAGGGGATGGGGTGATGAACCCGCTAACTGACGGAGAGTTTCGCCTCCTTAGAAACTTCCGATTTGGCAACCACGGCTCTACAAAGTGAACCCAGAAATATGCATTCCTTAGATATGCGGTTGTCGATGTAGTTTCCATGTCGCCAGTGACTCGAAATCAATACACAGAAAAATGATAAAACCATGTAAGTTTTGACAGCACTTAGTTTCGACTCCATAAAATGATTTGTAATGAAACCAAGTATTTTCGAGGACACGCTAAGAAGCATTTCTATCAAGATGAGAATTAGAGGGTCTGAGAGATTCCAGGCTGAACATGAATGAACATGAATAAAATGAAGCATGAATGCTGATTTCCTTTTTCATGGCGCAATGATCCAATGCTATTAAAAAATTAAAATATTTCATGATTACCAGCAAATACATATACATGGAATACCGTGACTGAAAACACCTAAGGTGCGACAAGGAGGGAAATTAAAACAAATTAGTTCAGGAAATTAACGAAATCATATAACCATATCTCCAAATACGGGATGAATTGTTCCTGGTGATCAGGAGGGGATGGAAATAAAATTGGCGAAAGGAGAACAACGTTGATTTGCTAATAAGCGCTACCAAAATCATCGCCTAGAATCACAAGGTGAAAATGAAGAAAAACAAATTATGCATGAATGATGTATGAGGAGCAGTTTCAAACAACGAAGAAGGAGGTAAAAAACCCAATTAAAACAAACCTGCAATATTCATTAATCCATGAAGACGTTTCCTCCTTAGCTGGGCTACAAAGAAAAGAAAAATATATTATCATTGGCAAAAAATTAGGGAAGATTAAGAACAGGCAAACCATACATAAAAATCGAAGAAGGACTTGAGAACGAATCATGCCAAGCTCAACTGAAATTTAAAAAAATCAAAGTGAAAAAGGACACACAAAAAGAAACAACTTAAAAAAAATCTTCTTACCTAAAATAGCAAAGAAGTGCTTCATTCCGATAATCCCAAGCAACGCTTCAAATATTAAAATACGTCAATTAAATTAAGCAGGGCGAGGAGACAAAGAAACCCCAAAAAACGCTTCTTACTGATACTGCGTAGAAAGCGTCGACGTTCGTCCTCGTCCATCCGCGCTTTACGGGAAGAAAAATTAGAAATTAAAAGACCCATGGACCCGAGACGAGGAAACCCCAAAAAACCCTTCTTACCGATACTGCGTAGGAGAAGTCCACGTTCGTCCTCGTCCATCCGCGCTGTACGGGAAGAAAAATTAGAAATTAAAAGACCCATGGACCCGAGACGAGGAAACCCCAAAAAACCCTTCTTACCGATACTGCGTAGGATCCGTCCACGAGTCCACGTTCGTCCTCGTCCATCCGCGCTTTACGGGAAGAAAAATTAGAAATTAAAAGACCCATGGACCCGAGACGAGGAAACCCCAAAAAACCCTTCTTACCGATACTGCGTAGGATCCGTCCACGTTCGACAGGATTTAATTCCTCTGTACGGGAAGAAAAATTAGAAATTAAAAGACCCATGGACCCGAGACGAGGAAACCCCAAAAAACCCTTCTTACCGATACTGCGTAGGATCCGTCCACGTTCGTCCTCGTCCATCCGCGCTGTACGGGAAGAAAAATTAGAAATTAAAAGACCCATGGACCCGAGACGAGGAAACCCCAAAAGACCCTTCTTACCGATACTGCGTAGGATCCGTCCACGAACCCGAGACGAGGAAACCCCAAAAAACCCTTCTTACCGATACTGCGTAGGAGAAGTCCACGTTCGACAGGATTTAATTCCTCTGTACGGGAAGAAAAATTAGAAATTAAAAGACCCATGGACCCGAGACGAGGAAACCCCAAAAAACCCTTCTTACCGATACTGCGTAGGAGAAGTCCACGTTCGTCCTCGTCCATCCGCGCTGTACGGGAAGAAAAATTAGAAATGAAAAGACCCATGGACCCGAAACGAGGAAACCCCAAAAAACTCCTCTCACCGATATTGCGTAGTAAGCTTTCACTTTCGGCTGGAATCATTTCATCTGCAGGTGACGAAAACCTTTGAGGTTGTTATGAATTGTTTTTTGGTCTTTTGCTTAAGGTAAAAAATAAAAATTTTTTCATCACCGAAAGTCCGCAAGAGCCTCCCGGAATTCAGTCCTTCATATCTGTCTGGAAAGAGATCATTTAAGATCAAATATTGGTTTTCTATGAATGATTTTGTGATATTGTTTTTTTGTACCAATTATATTCAAGAAGTGAAGTCTCTCTCTCCCCACGAGTTCATCTGGAAATATGGAATGACGACGTTAATGGTCTGGACTTGTGGAAAGCCCTTGTACAAGTGATGTGTCCTCCTGATTTTTTATTTCTCTAACTGAATGACAATGACTCAAAAAAACTCTTTTTAATATAAAAATTCCTTGTCGAAAGCGCTTGGGAACTGTCTTAAGACCCACCCATGCCCTGTCTTAATGTATTGTCATTCCTATTAGAAAATTTTCCCATTTGCTCTGCGTACGCCGGAACATTCGGCCTTGTTACTCGGTACTTGAGTGGGATCGATATTAGTATAGGTCTCTCGTGAGATTCTCTTCGTGTTACGATCATCGACTGGAGGACCTTTCCTTGTTTTTTTTTTCATTGCGTTTTTGGCATGATATCGGAATGTTTTATCTATAGTTAAACAACACCGGAAATTTCGATTGAAATAGTACTAATATGTCCATACGGACCCAGAGGAACTTAACTAAGACGCGCCCTGTCAGACATGAATACCTCGTATGTAGAATGTACAATTTTTTTCGCAACCATATCCTACGTGGCAATATTTTTAAAATTTTTTGTAAGTGTCCCTATTCGGCACAACAACGTCGGGTCAGCATTGATTCAGGATTGATTTTTACACGTTTCTATGTTGCCTTAATGTTGTGCAAAAGGGGGATTCGGTGTTGCCGCAATGCGGAAATGAAACACAGTTCAGAGTTGATCCGATTGTGTGTCGCGTTTTGCCAGCATTAAGATGTCAATTTATTTTGCAACACCTTTATCTTTGCCGAGCTTGAACGAGCGCTGGTGTTGATGAGAGCTTGAAAGTTCTCTGATGAGTGATATTGCACCAAGGAAGTGAGTTGCGAAGCAACTTCCTTCACGGAATTAAAACTCGACTTTAATTCTGGGAAAGACACGATTCATTTTGTCCAGCAAAGGAGTTACGTGCCTGGATTCACCTCCAGATTAATCGCTCATGCAGAAGGAGAGCGAGACACACGCTCGCTGGCCAGTTAGCATCATGTCATTCTCGCGATATGTTACGGTCCCGAAGTGCCGTTGCCCGATTCGGCATGTCTTCTCGGACCATGTGGCCACAAGTATCTGGAGTCTCCCTCTGCCAGGTTATCTCCTTCATGGGTCCATCTAGGAATTCCAAAGCCTTTTACAGATCGTGCGCTGCGTTAAACATGCAGGGAACTGCTTTTGGGGGGGCACCAGGGCGAAAATAGCTAAATTGGTGGTTAGTGCGCCATCTCGAGTGGATAGTTAGAACTATTTTTCTGTCGAGATGATGATGGAAAACTTCATTTTGAAACAAAACTGAGACTATGAGGAAGGCTAATGTGAAAATGAATTTGCCTATGACATCCTGGTCGTTAGTTGGGCTGAGCGACAATTGGGTGTTTGTGTCATTTAGGTAAAAAATATAAAATTCTCGTCTTGCAAAAGAAGACTTTACCTTCGTTTCTGTCGGTGACCAGGTCTGCAAATTCTCATCTCTCGTCAAACCCTCATCACCGCCCCCTTTCCCTCAATGAAGTCCTCATCAACATCAAATTGACTCTGATACTTCTTATATTCTTTTTACTAAATTAAATATTTGGTGTATCATGTTGTTGAACACTGTATTGCATTTGCCATCAGTCGTCTTCTTGGACGGCTTATCCTGTCTGTGGAGCGAGGCCGGACCCTTTGCCTTAGCTAATACCGCTCGTTCTAAATTATTCTCTTTTCATTGATTACGCTCGAACATTAACAGTAAATATAAAAGGTCCCCCACACGACATTTCTGTGTGTGTGACAGCTCTACAGGCAAAACGCTTACATATATGAACTTCGAGTTTCGACAGGCCTCTTCCTTCTCTGCGGATGCGCCTATTCAAAATAACGTGGAGACAGGAGTTCCCGTGGTACTCGCAAGGGAAACGTGGCGTCGCTCACTGCAGTGCCTCCTGCCCGCTGCCCGGAATCCAGGGATTTTTGGCGTCCATGATGAAATACGAAGCCATTCATCAGTCTGTCGCCACTCGCGTTCACACGGATCCGCAATGAAGTCAATCACCGCAGTTTCCTCGCGGCGGTCCATCCCTCAAAATCTCAGTGGTTGAGGTCTCGCATGTGGGCGCCGACACTGAGGTGTATTGTCGGATTCTGTGACGATCTCGCTAGAGTTGAACGGTGTGCTCCACGTAGTATGCTTCTTTGAAATTATAACCCAATGTAGAATTTATTTTCGCTCTATGGGCACTTTGATCCCTTGACGTGCTGAGGTGTCACGTTAAATGATATATGAAACGAGCTTGAACATGGTGCGCTCATTGTTTTATTGCCGTTTCAGCTCTGTGACTTCGTTAAATTCTTTTTCTTTCGCTTTTCTTCACATAGTGCTCCGTTCACATGGTCTGGAAAATTCACGGGTAAAATGAGACCTGCTGGCTTTATACATACTAGCTGGTACCCATGAAACCTTCACGACTTCGTGTTTGAGATTAGGCGACTCATGGCCCAAACCCATGTAATTTTTAACAGTCATATTTGGAATCAATAATATTGCGTGGGCCCCGCCATTCCACCCCGCCCCCTCCCTTAAACCAATCCCAGAATTACCATATATACCAAAATACAGGTTTGGTTTTATAACATGCAAATGAGACTATTTGAGCGAATTCGAAACTTTCTTGCATCAGATGCAGGAAGGAAGATGCTTCCCATGGTTTTAGATATCAAATTTCCCTTTTTAGTTCCCGAGTTTAATCTCTATTGGATTGTCCTGACCCGCTGATTGAGCCAGCAGCTCGGTCCGGGATCGAGTTTGATGTTAGGTGCAGGCAAATACGTGTAAGAAGAATATTTTTTGCAAAAAGAGCACCTCGTTCCGTCAGCGGTCGGCGCGATCACGTCATTAAATGACGTCACCCTCGGGTAAGCAGCCGGCAGCGGAACGCACTGAATTATGAGAACACGATAGGCCCACACGAAAGTGACGTCATGGGAAAACTGAATGCGTCAGTAGCGCCGCTTAGAAAGAGGATGAACCCAGAGTTCTAAACTCAGAGGCCTAACCGGGCTGTGGGTTGATGCGATCGGCCCGACACGACCCAAAGGGGGGGGGGGATCCGTGAAGCTCTGTGCAGCGATCGAGCTTTGGGTCTGGTTGGACCACGATTCGAATCGGACCAAACGGGTCGGTTTCGGAAAAGTTCATCCGCCCAAGCCTCAGGCGGACAGACTGGAAGACGTAACACATCAAATAGTTATATCTGATTGTTGCAAATGGAATTCAGTCGAATAGCATTCGAATGAGGCATTTCCTGGGATTTTTTGAACCGCCGAATTTGGTGTCATTAATAAAGAGATGGAGTATGTGAGATTCTTCAGTCATCAGAAGCCCGTAATTGACTTTGAGCCCAAAAAATCCCCAACCCTAGTGCCTGTAAAGAAGTTATTAAGCAAGATCCCCCGACGGAGTGAGACGAATCTCACTCGAGTGCGGGCGATGATTTCGAGCTCCGCAGGGAATGGGGATCAGCTCCATCAGGCAGACCCGACCGACGGATCGGTTGGCAATCAACTTTCATGTTGGGTGCAGGGGAATACATTAGAATACACTCGGAGGAGTCTTTTTCTCGAGCCGTTTACATCTGCGGGCAAAAAAGACACCTCGTTCCGTCAGCGCTCGATGCGATCACGTCATTAAATGACGTCACTCTCGGGCAAGGAACTACCAGTGGAACGTAGTGAACTATGAGAGCAACGTACAGGCCAACACCAGTGTGATGTCATGGGACGTCGGGTGGAAGCCTCAGCAGAGCCGGTTGAGCCGCTTAGAAAAAAGACGAACCCACAGACCACGAGTTCCGAAGTTTAGAGGCCTAAGCGGGCTGCCGTTCGGACCGATCAATCCTACTCGATCCGCGGGTCGGACTTAAAAGGATCGGTCGGCGTTTGAGCGTCGGATTCGAATCGGCCCAATCTGGTCGGGTCTGGTCCGAGAAAGTCTACCCGTGCATGCCTCTGGGCAGACAGGAGTACATACATTATTATATAGGTGACAGTGCCCAAGTAGCACGTGGATGCTATCCAGGACGTTCAAATTGTGTACAGTGAGGTTTTTGGGCTTCCGATGTACACATAATGAACACCCTTTGTGCTCTTAGTTAAGGTGTTGCTTGATAAAAAAAAACATATGGCATTTGAAGGACATTGGTTGAAAGTTATAGATACGTTTTCCTCAAGCATATCTATGGTATCCATCTAGCAATGGCTTGTAATAAAGGTTCGCACAACCGACGCTAGATGACACCAAAGTAGTCGCATATAGCAGGAGGATTCAAGATGCAGCTGCAATAATCCCTAATACCTTCCACGCGCTAGCCGATCTTTCCCTTCATAAACTAAAGGGAAAGATATTTAAACTCATTAACAAATCGGTCTGAAGAGTTGACCCAGTAACAGGAATCTACAGAAAACTCTGTCCCGTAAGAGAGAGGGAGGACGGTTCAATTTGCAAGGTCACTTCGAGCTGGAGTATAGGGTGACGGAAAAGATAGGAGTGGTTCTCATCGATTCTGTGAGAAAAAAATTAAGGACAGGGTGTGTCGGGCTACTCTGTATGAGATAACTTCGAAATCTTCGATGCAGGTTCATGTAAAACTAGCGAGTTAAACTAGCTAGTTTCACATGAACCTTCGCCGCTCCATTCCCAGGATAGTGATTCATTCAATAATCTATTTTCAAGGTGACGAAAACGTATTAAAAGTATATGCCCTTCGGAATGCGTATCAAGGGAGAACAAACCGATATTTTCATCGGATTCGTAGCACACTCCTATTGGCCCGGAGTTGGGCCGCTGTCGGCACGAGCGGGATCGTGGCGGGGGCGGCAAAGTAGCATTGCTAGTCAAAGGCCCACCAGAGAACGATGGCAGTAACCGGCGTCTCCTACTGCAGAAGAACGGGCCGCCAGCAGGAAGCTGACCTAACATAGGAGAACAAAGAAGATCAGCCGCCATCTGTTGCCAGTTAAACGAGTTACGCGTTGTCATGGCCGCCTGATGTCGGAATTATGTCCCTGTAGCTGTGCCGTTTGATTCACCCTGATTGTAGAACTCTGGGCTCCTCCTAGTTGCGTTCATTTCTGCATCTTTGTGACTTCTACATGTGATTTGTTGGTCTAGTCCTGCTGGTTATGCATAAACCCTACTTTCTTTCTCATCTAACTCAAGAAATTCAGTGTAGGCCTTGTGTCACGTGAATAACTGAAGGGAAGGAGGTTGGATGGACGAGAGAGGACGAAAGAAAGCCAGGGGACGGCCGGGAATTGAACCCGGGCCTCCTGAATGCCGGTCAGGTGTGCTTCCATTACACCACCGAATCCGGGACATTCAGACGTGCCTCTCAACACTGCCTTTATCACACTTGGGTCTATGCTCTTTAACGTACGGAGATATAGAACCAGGTTATGCCTAACTTCACAATGTCACCCTTGTGGGAATACGTATTGTTGTGGACCTCGAATGAGGGTAGAATTTGGAGATGGTGGCTAGGCATAAGCAAAAGAGTTTTTCCAATGGATGCCTACTCATGATTACCTTCTGTATTGATCTACCTGTGGGTTCAATATACACTGTAATTATGGGGTTCATTTTCTGGGCTTCGAACCACCCTTCTCCACTATAAGCAGGGTGGGAATGAGCCACAAGCCCTTCAATAGCCTCTCAACACTGCCTTTATCACACTTGGGTCTATGCTCTTTAACGTACGGAGATATAGAACCAGGTTATGCCTAACTTCACAATGTCACCCTTGTGGGAATACGTATTGTTGTGGACCTCGAATGTGGGTAGAATTTGGAGATGGTGGCTAGGCATAAGCAAAAGAGTTTTTCCAATGGATGCCTACTCATGATTACCTTCTGTATTGATCTATCTGTGGGTTCAATATACACTGTAATTATGGGGTTCATTTTCTGGGCTTCGAACCACCCTTCTCCACTATAAGCAGGCTGGGAATGAGCCACAAGCCCTTCAATGACATGAAATAGGGAAGCCGAAAGGACACGAGGGCCGAATAAAAGATGTTCAAGAAGCAAAGAGGAGTAAGAACCCATCATGAGAGTAAATATGCCTTTAGGGATTTGAAAAATGATAACATGAATGCTAATTGAACAGCTAGATTTAAAAGGGGGCATAATGCTTAGGGTGTTTCATTGGGTATGATTGAGCCTAAAAAGAGATGCAGTCTGCCATCACCTAAGCTCAGACAAAGTTGGGGACAGGATCTTGTCTAAGTCATATGCCTTCTGGGCTCCTCTCACCATTTTTCTCCAGTATGCCTAGATGAAGGAAATGTAGGCTAAAAGTGGCCTTGCTACTGCATAAGATGATGTTCCTCATGAAAATGAGAACTACTTGTTGAAGTTTCATTGGAGCTTGCTATTCTGCAACAAATTTGAAGAATGAAAAGTCAAAATTGCAGTTATTCAAGAAAGGTAAAAACTATAATGATTTACCATGAAGTAAGATTATTGATGTAATGAGCTATCCACATTGTGGTGTAGGGTAGACAGCAGCTGTGAAATGTTCCATTTTGTTGGTGTATTCTTTGTGTTGATGGAAATTGTCAAACACCCATGTTTTTTGGTTTATTCCTTTAGACATAACAATGCATTTCCAGAAGGAAGTAAGCAGCAGACATAGGCACAGAATCCTAGCTGAGAAGGTGGAAGAGGATATGACTGAATGTTTTACTGACTTGGAAGGGAATCTGCAAATATATGATGAGATTCTATATCTCACCAGGGCCCATCTTCTCAAAGTCAGTCATGCTGCAGTTGTGAGTGTAAGTTATCCTTCCTTTTCTCATAATTTATACTGTCCCATTGAATTCTTATTGCCCTGTAATGTGAATGAAGAATTTTGATCATAAGAAAGTAAAGTGTAATTTTCACTTCCAGCTCATTGGAAGAAGCTGAAATCTCAACAACTCCTGTGTTCCGAACGACGGAACACAGGTTATGTTGTGTTCTGAGGATGTAGAATACCCAGTTCGTTTCCTTCATGTCCTGGAGGGGTTCACGGGGATACTACCTAACGGAAACACCACAGAAGTAGACCTAAGGAAATTTGATGGGTTTTTAAGAGGAGAAGAAAATTTCAATTCATCTGTAAGTCATAAATTTTTTAAAAATCTTCTCTTTGATTCATGGACTGATACAGGCAAATAATGGAATTATACTGGACTAAAATTGGGATGCACCAATCAGGTATACCTGATTCAGATACTGACAGCAATACCTTACAAGGGGCTGTCAGAGTTGAAGGAATATGGACCCAGACCTTCACTGCTGCCTTAGTAGTAGCAGCCTTAGTAAGTGTTACACAACTTTAGGCATCTAAAGGAAGAAATAATAAGTCCTTGGACATGCAAAAGGACACAGCTCTCAAAGGCACTCCTGCTTCTTACTCAGCTCTGGAGACATTTACTTTTCCTAATGTATTAACCTCTTGAGTACAGGCCAAAACTTCCCGCGCCCACCTCAACCGCCACCGCAACTCCTGTTCCGTCATTGGACGTACGTGAAGTGCTCATTATCCTTGAGTTCAACAAGCAGCCAGAATGACAGGATCAGCACTCATGCGGGTAAAGCCAGAAGTATGATGGGCAAGAGCACTAAGGCCATCGGTACGAACCAGTCAGCTGACATTTGTGATTCATGATATGGGGGGTGTGGGTTTGACTAATAATTGTTTCTGAATATAATCTGAAGTATAAATTGAAAGGGGAGTATACAATGGGTTACTCAGCTTGGATTCATCCCTACCTTCACTTTATGGAAATTTTTTTGTTATGGAGACAATATGTTGTATTTTGAAAAGGAGAAGCTTGCTCTTTGTTTCAGGAATTTCCAACTTGTTTATTTACCTTTGTTGTCTGTTTTAATTTTTGTGAGAAAATTATGAGTCTTGTGATTTTGCAAATTAGATATCATTTTAAACACCTGTAGTAGTACATATTTAGTCCCTGAGGACCGAAAAGACTGAATAACATGTCATGGTGAATGATTCTTTGAGAGGCCAGTGCAATTGCCAGGTGACTTGAGGGCACTTTTCATTTTTTATACATTAAGCACCTTGCAGGCATATATGGACCCCTGTTTCAAATTTATCTGATTAATCACAATTGGTCATCTCCTTTCCATATTAAGGAATTCACTCTTCTTCCTTGGATAAATCTCAGGTGGTGTTCTTGAATACCTTGGGAGGGTTTGGTGTCATGGATTCCACATACCGGGTCATGAGGCATCTCATGACTAATCATCTTGCTTGCCAGGTCAACTGGATTGGAACTTACAAGATGGCCTTCAGAAGCATGAGAGTCAAGGATCTGGTTGTCAGTGAGTATCCATTCATATTAATTTCAGTCATGGATGACTTATCAATGCTATTCACGTTTCTGATGTGCATTTATTTTGCCATCTCTTTCTTTTCACAAGAGGCTATGAACAGAACCAGGG